GAGGACAACAGGGGATGAACTTATGGACTTGTCTTTCAGCCAGAAGTGACGGTGTAAAGTTAAAATCCCTTATGGATGGATTTGTTTCTTACAAATTATGCAGCTTTTCACATTACAAGACGTCGTTGTCAGCTCTTTGGACTCTCATTCTGACGGCACCCATTTACTGCAGAGGATCCATTGGTGAGCTAGTGATGTAATCCTAAATTCCTAAATCTGTTCCAATTAAGACATAAACTCATCTACATCTTGGATGGCCTGAGGGTAAGTAATTTTTCAGCAAATGTTCATTTTTGGGTGTACTTTTCCTTTCACGTTGACCTTCCAGACTTGTTGTTTCAGTATCCAGTTTCAGTGTGGGCAGTTGTTTCTTACACATGTGTCAGCATCATGAATACAGGGAGCTGTAACAACAGTCTGTTGCTGAATTGTGTTGACTGATTTGCTCTTCACTGATGTCCTGTATCATAGATGAAGTTCTTGTACAAGTTCTCTCTTTCTACAGGTCTTCTATATTGTTGGCTCTAACCTGTCATTGATCTTGAACATCATTACAGACGTTATTTGACTGTTGTAATGTGACAGATTTATCAAGTAGTACCAGTCATTGAAACATCTACATATTGAGTGCTGAGGGGAAGTTTAAGAGGTAGACTGGTTCTTTAACAGTTGGAGTTATGCTTAAGGGAGGATCAGGAGGATCTGTCCAGAGCATCAGAAATATAAATTATATGGTTATTTAGATTAAAAGAACAAGAAAAAGATTGCTTGGCACTTGCCAGTAGTATCATTTGCCTTAATTAGCTTAATTTTGCACTGTAAAATCTGTAACATTTTTGTAAAATCTGTGAAATTAAAACCAAAATTAAACATTTGCTTAATGTTTTTAAAATTAAATTAATATTTAATTTTGTATTATTTAGCTATATACTGAGCATAATTAAGTCTAGTTATTTAATGCAAATGCCTTGACTGAACTTAAAATGTCAAGTTGCCATTAATCTGCAGTCATTTAAAAAAAATTACCCATCTATATTAAGTGATTCTTGACATCATAAGACAAGTTATTGAACGTAATAAAATCAATAGCATTACCAATAAAACTGCTAAGTAGCCAAACAATCTAGCCACATTAACTAATTATACCCAAATACCAATTAAACAAATTATTTTTAATGTAGATCTGTCTGAACTAAATGAATGCATTAATCCAACTCACCTGTAATGCTTGTTGAAGATCAGACTATGTATCTTGTAACAGAAAATATCCTGAAAACAGAAACAGAAAATATCTTGTATCTTGAAAAACAGCATCAAGATACATTACTTGTTTGGTTTACATTAGCTGTAATACAACAATCAAGTAGATTTTCAGTATTATTCATTTGATCCAAGATTGTTTTTACAGTGCATCTTACAATCTGAGGCCATTGGGAGTCTTTGCAAGGAACAGCAATGGAAACGCCATGCACTTCCTGAGAGGTGTTTTCCCTGACTTCACCTGAGACTTCCCAGAGACTTCTCCTTGGCAACGGCCTCATGAGATACTGACAGATGCCCCCACAAGTCTCTGCCATCACAGGCTTTAAGATGTGCCACTTTGCTGAGGGGGACGGGGCCAAGTGCGCAGCATAGCGCTGCTATTGGCTAAGAAGTGACTTGAGTTTTGCTAAAGGAGGGGCTTTTTTCGGGGTGGGGTTGATCGGGGTTGAGCAGGCAGAGATGGTTTTACTGCAGTATCGACACATTAGTGCTGCACTGTTCTCTCTCTCTCTCTCTCTCTCTCTCTCGCTCTGTCTCTCTGCGGAATGCGTACTGCACTTGTGGGTGGGCAGAACGCCGGGCGTTACAGAGAAAGCGAGGTCTGCTCTCACTCAGTCCTCGCTTGAGTGCTCGGGTTTCGGCAGAGTGCCTTGAGAATCGCTTTTATCCAGTTTTTCATTAAACAAAGCTTTCTATTGAGACCTTAAAGATCGTTTTAACCCTTTCTCCACACTATTCAAGCGTTGAATAGCTTTTTATTACTCTCAAAGAGAGTGTTGGCCCCGCGGCGTTGACTCTGTGAGTGCACATTTATTTCGTCCAGGAAAATGGCAAAGGGTGATAAGAAGAACGCGTGGAAGGAGTTCTTCTGGAACCCGAGAACGCGCGAGTTCTGCGGGAGGACCGCGAGTAGTTGGGGTAAGTCTTGCACAGCATCGACAGGATTTCACGCATGCACAAATGCTAATAAGTGTGCCATTATGTTGCAGTTATAATAAACACTGCGCTGCAATAGTTAGCGAGCCTCACTCTATCAGTGCAGAGAAGTTCACTGGAGAGACGGATCGCTGTCCGAGGTGCTGAAACGCCAGTTAGTGCGGCTTTAGTGCGTCACATGCGTTTGCTTTTCTCCTCCGCGTGTTTACGCAGCTGTAAAACTTAATGCATGATGTGATTATCTTAGTCAAATTACGAAATCTGATGTCTATCGACAAATCCAGATAACTGATTATTGTGTTATGATGGACTTTGCGGGAAGAAATGTTAAATGCGCCGCATCAGCCAATGAACAGCGTGGAGAAATGTGATGCGTCGAGTCCCTGCAAAACTACACAATGCGCTTCAAGCAGAATGTCTGAATAGAGACTAGCACACATCAGTATTCCCTGCACCACTTTCTGTAAAGAACAGCCGTAATTTTAACTGCAAAGAATGCTGAAGTGCTGCAGTTAAAAAAAAATGTTAAATACTAGAAAAAAGTAGAATTTAATTGACTAAACATGTATTTTTCTGTGAAAAGTTATTAAAATGTTTTAAGTACACCGTATGATTTATTATATATTTAACAAGGCAATTCATGTATTGTAAAATATAGTATAAGTTATGTTTTTGTTCAAAGTATGAATCACTTTTTAATTAATAGGGAAATTAAAAAGATTTCCTTGCTCGAAATTTTCTTGCTTTTTGTAGCAGTTGCTCTCTGTTGTATTCTACCTTATTTAATTAATGTTTACCCTGACAGCTGCTAGAGAGGCCAATTTTGATCAGCTATAAGCCTCAGTGTGCCATCTGTATCATTATCTGTGCGTTTCATCACAGCAAACTCATTTTAATAGTTCACATAGGCCCATATATTAACATATAATTGAATAACAACTAGAAGCTGTAAAAAATACAGTCACCAAAATGCCAACACTTACTGTTTTTTAACATCATCAGCTGACATTTTTTTACAGTCGAGTGCCAAATTTTACATTCTGCCATTTGGTTTAAATCTGTTTGAATTTTCCAAGTAATCTAGTAAGTAATCTGGCTTTTATAATTGTGTAAGGTCTTTATAACAATAGAAGTGAACCACTAAACACCTTTAGCACTGTGTATATTGTTACAAATAGTCTTTTGCAGTGACATTGAGATGATTTAATCTAGCCAAGGGCCATTTTGTGTGTGTGTGTGGGGGTTTGTGAATTAGTGTAAAATGTAATCCTTTACTAATAGGCTCATTGGTTGCCTTGGTGAGGCTATCATGTGAATATATAGCCTATTCAACAGCTGTAGATTAATTCTGGAACTGAACTGTGTCTTTTAATCAGGGTGTGATGGCATTAAAACTACAGCACTCCAAAAGTGCCCCTCGGGCATCTGTAACTCAGCTGTCAATGCTTTGGGATAGTTAGAGAGAGAGAGAGAGTGTGTGTGTGTGTGCGCACGTTTTTGTGACAAATGAGGACATAAATTTGTATAATGACAAAGGTATGACATAGGTATTACAAGGAGAAGGTGACTTTTCAGGACATTACCCCATGTCCCCACTTTTCAAAACGCTTATAAATCACACAGAATGGAGTGTATTGAAAATCTGAAATAGCACAAAGTTTCCTGTAAGGGGTAGGTTTAGGGGTAGGGTTGGTGTAGGGCAATAGAATATACGGTCTGTACAGTATAAAAACCATTACGCCTATGGGATGTCCCCACTTTTCACAAAAATAAACCTGTGTGTGTGTGTGTGTGTGTGTGTGTGAGTGAGTGTGTGTGAGAGAAAGAGAGATAGAGAGAGAAATGCTAGATCACTGCCCTCAAGACATCCATGTATGCCAGCACTTATTGCTCTAGGAGAGAGAGAGAGAGAGTGAGAGAGCGAGAGAGAGAGAGAGAAAGAGAGAGAGAGAGAGTGTGTGTGTGTGTGTGTGTGTGTGTGTGTGTGTGTGTGTGCGTTTGTGTGTATGTGTGTATGATGCTCTGAGGACTAGCTGCCTATAGTTAAGCCAGCGTGCTCTCTAAGACTCCTTAATTAGTCTATTTTTGTCTGTGCCCAAACCAGAGTGAACCTGGGTATGCTTAGATTCTTTAACAAAGTACATCCTCATTACTGGAGCTTAATAGTGACCTATGGAGGATGGTGGAAGCAGAAGCTACATTCATACAGCTGTGTCTCTTATTGAAACATATCCAGGGTTGCTTTCAGAACCCCTGGGGCACAGAGGGGTCAATAGTATCAGATAAAAGCATTTAAAGCTGATTTGACTTCAGCCCTCTGGAGAATCATGTACAGCCTGTGTCTCATCTTGTTGTTAAACATCACTCTTGCACAGGCCGTAATTGAATCTCTAAACCACTCCTGAGACTTATAGCTCATACTGCAGTATTTGAGAGCAGAAGATCTTAAAACTCTGTTCAAAGCAGTATGAGGCTTCCTGGAAACAAACCACCTTGAAAAGTTCTGGAGATATTCTAGTTCAGAAGATTCCAATACTTTTTTTTTTTTATCAGCTAAAGCCCTTTGACATAAAATATTTACGTGAAGTACTCCCTGAGATTTGAAGTGAATTTACTAACATATTTGCATGTTCACAGTTCTCTGATGATATGCAAGTAAACAAAATAGTTAATCTTTTTTAATAAATATAATAAATTATTTACTGTTTACTAAAATGTTTACACCCTGCAGTTCTCAAATCCGAAAAAAAATCTGGTTCTAACTGGACGATAGACTGCTTTGAAAGATCCTCTTTTTGAATTTAATCTTCTTTTTCAAATGTATAATATCCCATTCACTTTACAGCTACACACATCATAAATAAATATGCGGATATGAAATGTTGTTTTGAATTGAAATTATGTAATGTTACCTATTATTGCTCATTTTCCACTATGAAAAATAGTAAATTACAAAGGAACAAAACAATTGGCACAATAATGCTAACACAGCAACAATATTATAGTGATATTAATATGAAGGTCTTCTGAAAGTGGTGCTATAGTTTCAGTTAAGTTTTGGTCTGATAAGAAATATGAAGAAATATTCATATCAAGTATAATAAATAGCTATCTGCAATTGTTACCCCGAGAACCTTTTTAATTTTTATTTATTTATTAATCTTAACCTGACTAACTCTTATGTTTGTTAGTATTAATAGTAATAATTTAGATTTGTCAGTCTATAATTACTGTCTATATATTTATGTGCACCCAGTACACCCAGTTATTCCTGCCAAATAACAGGAAATTGATATTCAGAGATGGCTCCCTTTGTCTGCATCACAGGTGTGAGTTCCTCTTAAGTGTTTGATAGTATGGTGGCCTGGTAGGTTTGATGGATTTAGGAACTGATGAATCTGAAAGGATGTGGGCAGATCTAAAGAGACTGTTTTGTGGGGTTCATGTCTGTATTAATGAACGTGAACATGCAAATAGCAGATCACAGCGGCACATTCTGCTTCTCGCTTTCAGGTTGCGTTCAATTTAGAGGGTTGAAAGAGGGAGGGTGACTTTCATCATGATGAGAGACAGAAAAAGAAACAGAAGAGCACAGACAGAGTATCAGTCTCACCGTGTGCAGTAAACACACAGATCCAGCACAGCTGATGAGGATGTACCACGTTTTAACCTCATAACCAAGTTGAGCAAGTAATGTTTGATAAAGTAGGTATTTGGTAGAGTATTTGGAGAGACAGCGGTTATTTTGAGGCTGTCCTGCTGCGAGATTAAGTAGCACTTAATGATGTGAACATTTGGGCTTTGCTAGTATCCCTTGCATAAGGCAACATTCTTACCTTATCTTTGCTCACTTTCTCTCTTGCACATGCATTGCATTCTTTTTCACTCTCTCCAGGCATATTAGCACACACTCCTGTGTAATTCTATCCTGTAGCGTAACCTCACATTGCACTGCTGTTATTGATCAGTGAAAGCCTGTCTGTGCGGGGAGCTCCAGGATGCAGCGGGGGACAGAGATCCCTCCTCCCTTCAACTTAGAGCAACCTGATCGATTGTCCCCAGGGGCCTCACTGCGTGAAGCTCAGGTGTCCTGTATTTTAATGAGCTCTCCTCAGGCATACTGCTGTGCACCACAACTTACAGCACGCACATACAAACAGGCACCTTCAGCACTCAGCATTTTCTATATAATAGCAAACCCTAAATTATTTATTGTGTTGGTGAAGATGTTTGGAAGTACGTTCTTATTACAGGGGCAAATGGATGAGTTACTGAATCTTTCCTTTTTGCCTGAGAGTATTCAAGTAATTAACATTAATTTTTAAAGAGTACAAGTCCAGCAATTCTCTTCATGCTTCATGCATACAATATAAATTCCAAATGTACAGTTTGGGGTTAGTAAGTATTTTTTTTTTTTTTTAAGAAATGTATATTTAGCAGGGATGGATTAAATGATCAAAGGTGACAGTAAAGACATTTGTTACAAAAATGTTCTATTTCAAATAAATGCTGTTCTTTTGAACTTTGTTCATCAAAGAGTTCTGGTTATCATGGTTTACACTAAAATCTTCAGTAGCACAACTGTTTTCAACATTGTTAAAAATTAGAAATGTTTCTTGAGATTCAAATCAGCATATTCATTTAGAATGTAACTTATTTCTGTGATGGCAAAGCTTTATTTTCAGCAGCCATTATTCCGATCTTCAGTGTCACATGATCTTTCAGATATTAAAAAAGTTTAAATAGAAAGTAGCCACTTTACATTTTAATAATATTGTACAGTATTACTGTTTTTACTGTATTTTGATCAAATCAATGCACTCGTGGAAAAAAATTCAAATCAATGCACTTGAATCAAATCAATGAGTGGTAGTGTGTATAATCTTTCATCTTATAACAATTTTATAAATGATTTTATTTAATATGCATACTGTTTAAGTGTATTGCGAAAAGCTAAAATGTGTTTAAAATGGTAAAAAAACAGTTCCAGCAACACAACAATATATATACTTTTTAAAATCTTGACACTGAAAAACCTCCATGTCTACTGCCCATGTAAGGTTTGTTTATTTCCCATATCTGAGAAAATCTGAGGGGGAAAAATTCTTGTGCTAGAAATTACCTATCAATACTCTCTCATTAACATTAGCAAAGACTTTTCAGACTGGCTTGTAAGTATACCACATTATACACCATATTACTGTACTGACATTATATACCTCATTAATAAATAACCACTGACATAATTCTGTCATTCTTCTACGTATGATAAATATCAACTCATTAGTCTGTATAGAGATCTATTTAGTGCAGTTGTGTAGACATAATAATTTAGAGTATAATTATTATTTTATTTGGGGGTGTTTGCATGAATGTATTTACAGACATACAGTAGGCTACTCTGGTGTTTCTAAACCATAAATTCCCTGAAAATCCCCCTTTGACTTAATCTGCCCTCTTCTTCTCCTTCTGTCACCTCCCTCCCCCTTTTTGCCCTTCTTAACCCACATCTTCCCTGCAGTAATTCAATTTTGTCAAAGACTAGACTTTTACCAGACAGGATTACCAGACTTCATGTAAAAGGGACATTAGTGTGTAAAAGTATGAATGTGTGTAAGACAGAGCTGCAGTGAATGTGTATGTATAAATGTATGAATGAGGAGAGAAGATCCGGGTGCTCTGGTGAGAATTTAAGGGGATTAGGTTTGCTAGTCTTGTATCTTTTCACAGTTACATCAGCAGAAGGAGAGTGAGGAGCAAGGGAGAGAGAGAGAAAGAGAGCAAAAGATAGTCATAAATTGTTATTATGGTTATATGGTCAAAGTATTCTGCATGTCCTATTACAAACACTCCCTACAAACATGTTTTTATTAAAGTACATAAAGTGTAGGAGGAGCTACAATGAAGGAAAACATGTTTTGTTCTATAACACCAGAACCGTATGTTACAGACTCAAGTCACAACTCTATATCTCTAATTTCATTTATATCAAGAATAAAACCATACTTTTGTGAACTACTCCTAGACTTATACATTTTTATCACTTATCACTTGGTACATTAATGTAAGGGCTTACTCTAAGAACAAATTACAAATTTGGAAGACTTGGCCACTTGGTGGCACTATCATAGCAAAAAAAAAAAAAAATGACTGGAACTGTAGTCCAGTCTACATTTTGTCTTATCTGTCATCAGAAATGCTTAATGTCATTCAAAATATAGGCCAATCATTGCTGCATGCAGCTGTATTTATTAATTGAAATTAATATGCATTGTTATTATTATTGCTATTATTAAATTCATTTCAACAAGAATTCCATTAAAATAAGTCTTAGCATTTCGATGCTAAGTATGCCAAATTCCAGTGGCATATTACAGTTCACATTTATGGAAAAGTTTCCAAAAGCTTGAGTACAGTATGTATTTGTATAGAGTTTGGATTTGAATGTTTGTGTGTCCTTGTAGGTCTGATCCTGTTGTTTTATCTGGCATTCTACATTTTCCTGGCTGGATTATTTGCTCTCACCATGTACGTAATGCTGCAGACGCTCGATGACCACAGACCAACATACCAAGATAGACTTTCAACTCCAGGTAATACACACAGACTTGATCCTAAATATAAGCCTATAAAAAACTCCACCCTAATGTTACCCCTTACAGATACCTTTTGCCATTTATTAACTGTCATTTATTGATATTGCGATATTTGGCACATTATTTGGACTTTTTGATGCTCACAAGCATACTAAATGCACAATGAATGTAAACATACACACTCACAGTCTCTGTATTTTCCTATTCTCTTATTTGTTTTGCAGGAATGATGATCAGACCTAAAGGAGATCAGCTGGAGATCGCTTACACCGTGGAGTACACAGAGACCTGGGAAAGATACGTCCAGGCCCTCAATAACTTCCTCTCGCGTGAGTGCCATGCAAATAACCTTATATGTATTGCACAGAACCTGCCGCAATCATTTTACTATTGAAATCCTGCGTGCTATTTAGTTGACCGAAGGTCTTGTCCTGTTGCTTCTTGTATGCAGCCTACAACGACACAGTCCAGGCCCAGAAGAATTATGAATGTAAACCGGATCATTACTTCATCCAGGAGGACAGTGGCAGCTTGGAAAACTTCCCCAAGCGTTCCTGCCAGTTCAAACGCTCCATATTGGAGGATTGCGCTGGGATCACAGATCGTTATTATGGTTACAGTGATGGCAAGCCCTGCATTATCATCAGGCTTAACCGTGTAAGACGTGAAATAGAAAGCATGTGTGGAGCAAATGTTTGTGTCAGAAACACGTCCAGCATTATCGAAAAATGTATATAATCGAACAAATATATGCCTGATTTGATTTTAGGTCATTGAATCCCCACAGTTTTTTCGTCGTGAAGACTTTGACCTGAAACCACAGAATCAGAGACAGAGGCCTGAATGTTTATAATTAAAAATTCATCAGAGTTACTTTAGTTTTCTAATGAGACTCAACTTGACCTGTCTCTTCCCTTTGGTTTTCATCTTTTTCTCCCTCTCTCATTTCAATCTCAAATCCTTCTTTCTCTGCGTTTATTCTTCTTTGCAGGTGATTGGTCTGTTGCCTGCTGAGGATGGGCAGCCTCCTTACGTCACATGTGGTGCTAAGGTAAGGTCTCAGTCTCTTTTCCTCTGTCTCTCACTCTCCTTATCCTTCAGTCTTTTAAAAAGGGATTGATTTCAGATTAAAGTTACATGAGCCATTCAACAAGGTCACCAGATTAAATTAGCAAGTAATCAGAACTGTGGCCGGCTTCAGAGAAAAACTGCCATGACAGACTATATGCTGCTGATTCACATGCAAAAATGAACAAACAGAAATTAAAATAAGTAAAGGAACAGTTGTGTATTTCCCATTCGTTAAAATGTCTGAATGTATTCAGGAATCATCCTTCAGTAATGCAAGGTTCAGTCTCAACTGTTTTCATATTTCCATTTTTAGTCATTTTAGTACTTCAACTTTTATTTCTGTTAGCTGCCAAGTCAACATTTCTAATTTTTTATCTAATATTTATATTTTACTTAAGATTTATTTCAATTCAATATTTTAATAGTTTTAGTTAACAATAACAACACTGTTGCTTGCTTGTATTCTCATACTGTAGGTCAGTTTCCCCACTCTAAGCAAACTTTGACCTATATTGCATTAGAGTGGAAGTTTTACCTACTCTTTCCCCAAGCTTTCTCAATAGTGTGTGCCCTCTGAATCATGTATGTATGTTTGTGTTTGAGTGGGTTCTGACTGAATATTGACCACCATTCAGGCTCATGCAAATATGTTCCTCAATCTATTTCTCTCTTGGATTGCAATGTCCTCACCCATTTTTTAAACATCACACCTTTTTTTGCTCTTTCTCGTCATAGACCCATCATTCCTCCTCCTTTGTTCTGTACTGTTGTCATATAATTGTTGTTTTCAGTGTCTTTTCAGTGTTTGCTTATTATGTGTTGTTTTACACCATTGCTCATCATCTCTGTTTATGTTCCATGAGGTTGAGGTTTTTTTGTGTGTGTCTCACCTGTTCTCCCTCTCCGTTCTTGTCAGAAATACAAAGTTGGGAAAGATGAGTGGGTAAGAATAATAGACAGAATGAAGAATAATCATTTTGACAGAGGCAGAGAATTCATAATGAGCATTACATCTTTGATGTTCTGCAGTGAGCAACAAATTCGAATCCAAAATGACCAGTCTTTATTTTAAATCTTTAATTACACTTAAAAACAGCAAAGGGTAAAATGATTATTCATACAGTCAGATCATATGCTAGATAATTCCAGCATAAGATCAATTCAAAGAACTATTGATTTCTCTGTTCATTTGTTTAATTCAGTAGCAGTGGTAGTAAAACAGCTTGATACCTTCAGATTAAATGCTGAGATGAACTCATAATATCTCCCTCCCTCTGTAGGCAGATGACTCCGATAAACTTGGTGAACTGGTGTACTTTCCCCCAAATGGCACCTTTAACCTTATGTACTACCCATACTATGGCAAGAAAGCCCAGGTACAACATACACACACACACACACATGGAGAATATACTGTACATGTGTAAAATGAAAATTTACAGTCTGTTTACAGTCTAAATGCATATTATTGATCTTACTGTAAATTTTTCATCTATGCATATATTTTATTATTATTATTTTTTTAAAAGGATCATTTTTAATTATTAATCTAAGTGTCATTACTGGATCTTCCAATGAAAGAACAGACTTCTCTCTGGTGATGCATGCTGGATTCTCCAATCATTTAGCCCACTTAACCCACTAAAGATTGCATTCAGATCTGGCTCCATCCAATCAACAACTGATGGAGATAAAACCCTTTTCTGGCAATCTGTTTCTTCTGCTGCAGGTGAACTACTCTCAGCCTCTTGTGGCCATTAAGTTCATCAACATCACCATGAATGAGGACGTCAACGTGGAGTGCAAAATCAACGCTAACAACATTCCTGAGGGTAGTGAACGAGACAAGTTTGCTGGACGCATTTCCTTCAAACTGAGGATCAACTCCAGAGATTAAACAGGCGAAAGTGTTTTAATTTTTTTTTACACACACACACACACACACACACACACACACACACACACACACACACACACACACCCACAACCCACACACACACACACACACACACACACACACACACACACACCCTCACACACACACCCTCACACACACACTCTCACACACACACACACACACACACACACACTCACTCACGC